CTCAACTACATATCCCTCGAAGCAGTACTGTACTGAGTACATTTGCACTTGGATAACAGGAAGCTTGGTAAGGCAGCCTTGACTCCAACCCAGGGCTGCCAGTATGCAAAGAGATACGCTGACGTACCTACTTATTTGCAAAATTCCCGGAGTTAGCAGAGCGCTGTGCAAGCAATTTAATGACAAGCTAGAATTGTCCCTAGTGCCTATGCAGCTCTGCTTATAGGTTAAGCTCAGCAGGGCTATAGAACATTAAGTAGACATGATTGCTGGAGTTACTTCCTAGTTTGGAAGAGAACACCTTGCAAAAGCTGAAATTTAAAAAAAAAAAATTTATAATTCTTTACTTGTGGTAAACACATAGAGAAAAATCACTCAGCGAGTACATACATAACATGGCAGAGACTCGCAAGACTTGCCAAAAGAAGGTCAAGAGTAGGTTGATCAGTGGTCATCATACATACAAGACTTCTCAAGGACCCTGAAAAGCCACGCAGGGCCAGGAGAGGACTAGTGAGCACTCGTGGCAATCCACCAATCTGCTCACTGAGCATGCAACTCCACATGTATTATTTTATGTGCAGAGGAATAAAGAGGGAGGGGAAAAAAAAATCATATCCACTGACCCCTGTGATTCCCCCCAGCTCGCTTAATTCTGATTGGACATGTAGTGCCTCCATGGCTCTTAAACCTTAGTAAAGGTGTCATCGTGTGCCTCACTTTGGCTGTTAATCCGTCTGTAATATAATTGTCCCCTGTTTTCAACGACAACGTGGGTTGTTTTTTTAAGTAAAATACAGGAACGTGCAAATGTAGAAATGGAGGAAAAAGACACAATAAACCAATCATTCTGAATATTTAACCTTTCCAAATATCCTTAACCTCTATTCCAAAGGGAGCTACGCAATTTGCCACAATATTGTCTCTTGCTTTTGATCAATGGTCTTCGTTTTTATTATATCGAAGTAAAATTGTTTGTGTTCCTCAAAAAAGCCTTGTAAATTTGTAACTATTTCCTGAGAGCGGGTACAGTTGAGAAATATGTAGCAGAAAATAGGAAAAGCCGAAATAGTTGATAAAATTGTTAATGGTCAGCAAAATTGTCTTATGGCAGATAAACATTTTAGCTGACATAATATAAGTGCTGATTGAATCCCTGGCAAGATGTTTGTGCAAATTAAAGCAAAAAGTATTAAAGAGGAACTGTCGCTTCTTTGGAATTAACGCAATTGAATTAAGCTTTGAAAATTACCTAAAACGTGGGTTATAAAATTTTCCATGGGAAGCTCTATTTTCTTTTATATATAGGTTAAATATTTAGCAGATTACTTAATAATCCAGTTCAGACAAGGAAATGTCAGGTCGAACATTGCTAAAGAAGAGGGGAAAGGTAAACATAGGGGGTGACATAAAAAAAATTACGCATTCACTTTCACCTCTGCGTCACTTTTGTGCATATGTGCTCTTTCCTTTTGTTTAAAACTTACTATATCCTTTTTACCTGTTTTTTTTGGGAGTTGAGGGGTTCTGTAAAGCTCTAAGTCAGTCTTTCTGCTGTTTTATTCCCAAATTCCTTTTTTTAATTTTAATTTCCTGATAATTTTACCATTGATTTCCTTCACAAAAGACAAATGAGTAATATTTCTCAGAAAAGAAGATGCATTCACATTTTGAAGCACTTTTCTTTATTCCTTTCAGGAACACTCCAAGCACCAACTATAACCACTACACTGTAGTGGTTATGGTGCCAGGAGTGCCCTAGTACCACAATTTCCCCCATGTAATTAGTTAAACCATTTGCGCACACATTTCTATCAGTCATGGTTATTAACTCTGAATTGTCTTTGGTTAAAAACAAATACATTAATGAAAGCAGAAACAATCAGTATCCATTGCTTCTATTTTTCCTTTTCCAATGCAGTATGCAGCTTGGAATTTAAGACCTGGATTGTTTTGTGATGTCATCTGCTAAATTTTATTATCAATTTAAAGTTAAACCGGGCATAACTTTAATTTTTAAAAAAATCAATTATTTTTAGTGTTTTCATTTCCAGCCAGTGGTGTATCCTGGTTTTGTGCTGCCCTAGGCAGGACAAAACTCAGGTGCCCCCACCCCTCCATGCAAACCCCTGCGCCAGCCCCCCCACCTTCTAAATACACACACACACACATTTACTGACAGATATGCAGGGCTCGAGTCCTGCAGGAACGCATGGGAACGGCGTTCCCGCACTTTTTCCATAGCAGGAACGCCGTTCCCGTTACCTGTCCTGCAGGACCGGCCCTGGTCCCTGCACTGAGGGGCCATCACACGCTGTGTTCCCCCTCCAGCTATAACTCTCGCGAGACCCGCGGCTGTTACCATGGCAACGCTCCGCACAGGCGAGTCTCGCGAGAGTGAGAGCTGGAGAGGGAACACAGCGTGTGATGGCTCCTGTGTGCAGCGGCTGGCTCCCTCCACCGGACCACCAGGCGATCTCCCCCCTCCCTGACAAGGTAAGAAGCAGGGAGGGGGGGATAAAATAAACAAATATAAACACATAAAGTAAGAAAAAAATGCTTCCTCCCCCCCCCCCACACATCATCCAGCACTCACACACCCATCATCCAGCACTCACACAAACACCCATCATCCAGCACTCACACAAACACCCATCATCCAGCACTCACACAAACACCCACCATCCAGCACTCACACACCCATCATCCAGCAGTCACACAAACACCCACCATCCAGCACTCACACACCCACCATCCAGCACTCACACACCCATCATCCAGCACTCACACACACATCATCCAGCACACACACACATCATCCAGCACTCACACACACATCATCCAGCACTCACACACACACACATCATCCAGCACACACACAATCATCCAGCACACACACACACAATCATCCAGCACTCACACACACATCATCCAGCACACACACACACACACATCATCAGCACACACACACACATCATCCAGCACACACACACATCATCCAGCACACACACACACATCACACACACGCACACACACACACATCGCACACACACACACATCCTCCAGCACACACACACACATCATCCAGCACACACACACACTCGCACTCGCACACACGTCATCCAGCGCGCGCACACACTGCATTCATTATACACACTCTTCACTCACTACAAACACACTACATTCACTATACACCCTCTGCATTCACTATACACACTCTGCATTTATTATGCACATTCTGCACTCACTACACACTACATTCACTATACACACTCTGCATTCACTACAAACACACTACATACACTGCATTCAGTGTACACACTCTGCACTCACTAAAAACACACTGCATTCATTATACACACTCTGCATTCACTACAAACACACTACATTAATTATACACACCTTGCACTGCACTATATGCATAGGAGTGTAATTTTTTTTTTTTTAAAGGGGGGGGGGGGAGGCGGCGGGAATCTTGGGTGAGTATACACTTTTTTCCCCAGGACTTGACCCCTGCAGATATGCATACCCTCGCTAACAGAAACACTCACACTCACTAACAGACACACACTCACTGACACACACACTCACAGGCAAACACACTCACACTAACAGACACACACACAGTCAGACACACACACTCACTGACACACAGTCAGACACACACATACACACTAACAGACAAACACAGTCAGACACACACACTAACAGACACACACTCACTCACTAGCAGACACACATTAGCAGACACACACACACTAACAAACACACACACATTAACAGACACACACTCACTGACACACACACTCACACTAACAGACACACAAACACTAACAGACACATACACACTAACAGACACATACACACTAACAGACACACACACACACACTCACTGACACACAGTCAGACACACACATACACACTAACAAACACACACAGTCAGACACACACTAACAGACACACACTAACTCACTAGCAGACACACACACACACACTAACAAAACACACACACATTAACAGACACACACTCACTCACTCACATTAACAAAAAAAATTTTTATTCACCCCCCCCCCAACCTCCTTACCTTTGGGAGTGCTGGGGGGGGAGGGGTTCATTACCTCCCTGGTGGTCCAGTGGTTGCCGGGCTGGGCTGGGCGGGCGGGCGGCTGGCGAGGGAGCTGAACAGACCGCTCAGGGGAAGAGCTCCCTCGCCAGCCGCCCGCCCAGCGCCCAGCATGTCTGTTAGCCGCGAGGCTAACAAGGCATTTGCCCTGGGCATTTGGGGGCGGCTTTTTTTGCTGCCCCCTGAAAAATGCCGCCCAAGGCAAATGCCTTGTTTGCCTCGCGGCTAAAACGCCCCTGTTTCCAGCGATGTAGCTGTTCCCCTTTAACCCCTTAAGGACCAAACTTCTGGAATAAAAGGGAATCATGACATGTCACATATGTAATGTGTCCTTAAGGAGTTAAACATCCTCAGCAGCGCAGACCTTCTACTGTAGAACCTTGGAGGCTGAGTTCTATGAGCTACATATCCCGGATTAATGCATACAAAGGAAATGCATTTCTCAATAATTTGCAGCGACCCATCACTGCTTAGATATCTTCATTCAGGCAAGGCAAGAGCGGGTTTTGGTTTGGATAGTTTTTTTGTGATTTTTCACAATATACACTTGTTTTGCAAAATGTGATAACAAAGGCAGGGGCTTATTCTTATGGGAGATGAAGAGGACATTGTATTACAGTGAACTCACCATTACTGAGAACGTGATTCCAGGAATTGTACAAAATATAATTTATAACAGATGTAAACAAGAACAAATATATAACATCACTATCTCCCAACATGTGGCTTATTCAAATCCGGAGTCATGAGGGGACGTGGCCAGAAAACCACAACGAGCGAGTCTGCCCAGAAAACCATCAGGATTGGAAGGGGAGGTCTCACCCACTGAAAACCTGTCTGGCTAGCCCCAAGCCTTTAGGGCCATGCAGAGAGTGTTGCAAAAGTGCTCCCTGGATGGTGTCAGGATCTCTCCTGATGTGGAGTCTGACATGCAGAGTTATATGCTCACCCTTGCAAATGAACACAGACCAAGGTGCCAGGTAAGAAGCCACCTGGGCTGTGAGTCTGTGCACAGGGGCTGTGCAGGAATATAGCTCCAAGTCGCAGTATAGGCAAGGACAAGCAGAAGAGTAGTCGTGGAAAGCCAAAGCCAGAGGTCAGAGTAAACGATGAGATGAGCCAAGGTCAGGACCCGTCTGGAGAACATTGGATCAAGATACACAATAACAGGAACCAGAGTCAATGAACTGACACTGCCCTCAGAGAGAGGCAGTGTTTTATACCTCGCTAATCAGCGATATGCTTCTTGTGGACCGAGATAGACAGGAGCAGCCACAGGAAAAGTCCACCCTCAGTGCAGGAGACAAGGCAATGATAAACATCAGGCAGAAACAAGAACTGAAGTATGGCTCAGAGACAAAAAAAAGCAGGCCCAGGACACAGAAGGATCCAGTTTCTTGTCCCCTGTTGGGCACTTCCGGAGAGAACCGTGACCGATAGTCACAGTGCCTCTAATGATGTGCTCATGAAAGGCAGAATTATTGAACCATTTAAGACAACGTTTCAGCTTCTCGAGAAAGGCTTTGCATAGCCAAAATCCTGCCTGGGGTCTTATCGAATCTTGCGCCTGGTCTTTTCTTTAAATTTTTGCTTTACTGAAGCTGAGCCACTCTGGACTGGCGACACTTGGGTTTTCCTATTATTTAATGTGTGTCTTCTCATGTTTATATAATTGATTGTGTGTTCTATAGCTCTACTGACTATTTAAAGGGTCACTCCAACAACCATAAACACGTATGCTCCTTGTTGACATCACAGCAGGAAGCTATAATCCCTCCCCCAGCTGTACAAGATTTTGTATGACATGTGCACGCCAATCTTGTCAAGTAAAATTTATTTATCTCTTTTCCTAAAAGACAAAACTTTTTTGCTTCAAAGACAATCCCTGTGTTTTATTGTATTCTCAAACATTTATAAATGTTTAAATAGAGGAACCATTACAAATTATATAATATTATAGCTAAGATATCTGTACGGTTAGCCCTAAATTCTATGCTTTAAAGGAACACTATAGTCACCTAAATTACTTTAGCTAAATAAAGCAGTTTTAGTGTATAGATCATTCCCCTGCAATTTCACTGCTCAATTCACTGTCATTTAGGAGTTAAATCACTTTGTTTCTGTTTATGCAGCCCTAGCCACACCTCCCCTGGCTATGATTGACAGAGTCTGCATGAAAAAAAAAACTGGTTTCACTTTCAAACAGATTAAATTTACCTTAATAATTGTATCTCAATCTCTAAATTGAACTTTAATCACATACAGGAGGCTCTTGCAGGGTCTAGCAAGCTATTAACATAGCAGGGGATAAGAAAATAAAAAAAAAATTAAACAGAACTTGCAATAAAGAAAGCCTAAATAGGGCTCTCTTTACAGGAAGTGTTTATGGAAGGCTGTGCAAGTCACATGCAGGGAGGTGTGACTAGGGTTCATAAACAAAGGGATTTAACACCTAAATGGCAGAGGATTGAGCAGTGAGGCTGCAGGGGCATGTTTTATGCACCAAAACTGCTTCATTAAGCTAAAGTTGTTCAGGTGACTATAGTGTCCCTTTAAGATGTTATAGTGGTAAATAGGGGAACCAGCAGCCGTTACATAACTTGTGAACTACATATCCCTCAAAGCAGTACTTGACAGGTGCATAGTCGCCATTTGGGCAGGGGAGGGATAAATTAACCTAAACCCAACCCAGTAAGACACCGACACTCATGGTTATGGGTCAAAATTGTCAACAGCTTTAATGATAAAAAATTAATAATAACTTATAATATACAATTATATATAAAAGTCATTACCTACCACACCCCCAACATTGTATCATCTCTCACATATTTGAATCAAGGCAATGACCCACAACATAACATATTTCCCAATATATAACAACCATATAAATATAACATGTAAAGTGCCAACATTCATCAATTTCACCTGGTAGGGGTATACCCAGATAACCCTACACCACCGATGTTCTGAGCCACCAACGGACTCGAAACCTTCCAAAACATGTATGAACAGTGTACCCTTTCCCCTTACTCCTATTTTAACTAAGGCCCATTTTTCCTTAATGTTCCTAACCCCCACCCCGCCGCTGTGACCAAGCAGGGAAAAAAAGGCTACAAAAGGGAGGGAGGGACCAACTCTGCAATGTAAGAAATTAGAGTTAGGGCTCACAAAATGGTCGACCCTTTATATCAGCCAACACCCAAACACTGACCCACCAATCCCCACTATTGCTCCCGCCTCTAGCCCGCTTCCAGGCCCGGTCAGGGCCCTATTCCCGAAGCTGCGCTTTCTCCATGGGCTTCAGGACTGAGTACATTTGCACTTGGATAACAGGAAACTTGGTAAGCAAGCCCTGACTCCAACCCAGGGCTGCCAATAAGCAAAGAGATACACTGACATACCTACTTATTTGCAAAATTCCCAGGGTTAAAAACAGCAGGCCCAAGACACAGAAGGTTCCATTTCCCCTGCTGGGCACTTCTGGGGCGACCACGTCTGGCTGTCTGGATGTCACGGTGAGAACCGTGACAGATGGTCATAGTGCCTCTAATGATGTGCTCATGCTTTGCTGGTTGGGGACAGTTCCTGATGAGCCCAGAGGTGAGGAACTTAAGTGGGACAGCTCTCCAAAATTGGGACTGTCCAACCAAAAAAGGAACAGTTGGGATGCATGTATTCTATGCATATTTTATTGTAGTTTGTCTTTGACCACAGATTTATAAGTATATTTGATATTTCTGTTTTTTCCTCTCTGAGGACCACTTTAAAAAAAATATATATAACCAAGATAATGCATGCTTATGTATAACTGCAGTTACCATTTAGATCAGGCAGGATCAGGGAATTTGCATCTCAATTTTCAAATTGCTGATAAAAAGTACAAGGCTACAGAGCGCATGTGTTGTCAACATCCAATCAGAATCAGAGATTTGCCTCTCTTTTAGTCTCCGTCGGCTTGCAGACATTTCATTTATGTTTCTTAGGCAGTAGCCAGGCCACTCCAAGGAGCAGTACGTGTTCCTTCACTGTTTCCTCAAGGTCTGCGTGTTCTCCATTCCTGACAGAACCATGGGCCTCAATGTATCTCCAGCAAGTTGGGCCTGAGTCTGGTACTTACACAGTACTTAAATGACAGGAGTTTGTATGCAGTTTCCTGGTGTTTACGTGCTAAGGACCAATGAGGAGTCAGAAAGAATTCCGTCCAGTCTTCTACCACTGCCCACACATTCTGCCTGTCTTAATTCTTTATTTATTACTGGTATTTAGAAAACGCCAACATATTCCTCAGTGCTGTGCAATTAGGGGAGGATGTACAATATACACAGACAAATAAAAAAGGTAGAGAGGGCCTTGCCCGTAAGCTGATAGCTAGCCACTGAAGCTCTTTTATACAAAGTGCTTGCTTAGCTAGATGGCCCGTGAGCTTACAATCTAAAGGCTTCTTCCTTTGTTTACTCTTCCGACATTACCCGTAAAGGGATCACACCCAGAAACCAGCGGCCCACCACTAAATTAGGAATAATAATAACGTTTCCAGCAGGTCTAGAGCCTTACTAGTCTTTCCTGGCATGCAATGCCCTAGAACAGGCTCAAAGTACCCTGTCCTGTGACTACACAGCTTAGAATCCTGACTACATTTTGGATCATTTTAGAGCTCTATGGATTGGATGAAGCTTGAAAGAAATTTGTTCAAAGCAGAGCAGGGTCTTCAGCAAGTGCTTTATGTACCTCCCAAGTTTAGCTCAGTAACAGTGCTCTAACACGTTTTTATTTGCAAGTGTAACTCAATGAGTACCTATGACCATTCAATGCCAGCTCCCTGGTGCTAAGTGTATCTGATCAGAAGGTCCTCTCTGCATCATGTACCAACCACCGGTGGCCCCCAGAAACCACGTGCATAGCAGGTGTTGGCAGGATGTCAGATTTTAATGTAGTTGATAATAATTGGCTGTCTAAATGTGATTTTATTGAAGGGATGACTCTTTAACTTATTCTACAAACCAGATCCTTCCAGGCCATGGCTCAGTAACTCAGTACTGAATATTATAGTGAATACATTTCAGAATGTGTGCATGATGTGAAATGATTGGGGGAGATCAGGAAACAAAGTGTGACAGCTGATCAGCTGCTCAGTAAACACACTGAAGAATGAAATGCCTTTTATATATTAAAATAAAAAGCCTCCCTCTTCACCCCTTACTATTCATTCTCACTAACCCCTCCTTCCTTTCTACAATTGGTTTGTCCAGAAAATGGCAACAACAAAAAAAAAAACTTGTTGAGAAAGAGAATCGCTGTTTCAGAACTGGAGACTGGGACTGGTTCCAGTATCTCCCAGAATTAGCACAGAGTATTAACTGCCTCCGTGACTACCCCAGAAAATCCTAAAAATGAGGAGCACCTAGACCCTGCTCTCTGTTAGAAATCCAAGGCTGCTTCCAGAGGATCTTAACTCATCATTTCATGGTAAGAAATTATACCCCCTTATGATCTCTTAACTCTCTCCCTCCCTTTCACTGTAGAAAAAGAACTGTTTAATTATCTCACAAAGTTAACCCTTTCTAGTCTCACATTAACTAGCTGTCCCCCTCCTAGTCTAATGGTAAGTAATCCAATTTCTGATGAGATTTAATACTAATCTCAGAACCCTCCTACAGTCCTTAGTCTTATGATGGTATAACCCTATCCTGCTCTCATAGTAAATAACTATTCTCCTATCCCCATTTTACGATAAATCCTATTTAACTTCTCATTTTACAGTATATTATTCACTATGGCAGGCTTTACAGGCCAGCCACTGTTGATAATGTCTACACATTGTTTGTTAATACAATGTTGCAACCTAAAACATGCACATATTACAGACATATTAACCCCTTTTCCTATTAACCCCTGCAGTGCCAGTATTAGCCTCTCAGTGACCATATCAGACCCTTCCCTTTCCCCTCTTGGTCATGACATTCCATATATTAACCCCTTCCATGCAGCAAATAGCTAATCATAGCCCTTGGATAGCCCTGATTTCTTATTTAACCCCATTCATGTACAGTCCTACAATTTAACCCAATTCAATATACCCTCTGACCATTCCCAGCCCTATTCTAGACATTACTACTTCCCTCCCCCTTATCTCAGGGTAAATAGCTTTCTCCCCATCCTTATCTCATAGGAAATACTTCTCTCCAAATCTAGAGTTCTTGGTAAACAGCTCTCCCCCCTCCTCATCTTTGTGTTACTAGAATGAATACAAGAATTGTTAAATAACCTCCTTTGCCTTATGGGTGGAGGGAGACTTTTTTTTGTTTGTTTTTTTAAAGTTCACGTTTCACAGCTGCTCCAATGGGTTTTCTTAATTTCCCACCCACAATTATTATTATTATTATTATTCATATAGCGCCAGCAAATTCCGTAGCGCTGTACAATTAATTTAGGCAGAACGTTTCAGTCAGTGGGAACCCCCTTACAGCCTATATTAGTATAAGAAGTGGGGGTGTTAATTGTCCCCCCTCTCCACAGAGAAAACCAGTGTTTTGAGTTTATTGTTTAACTTAAGGACACTGCTTCAGAAATAAAAGGCAATTATGATGGAAATTTCTGTCATGTGTCCTTAAGGGGGTTAGGGGCAGTTTGACAATTAAAAAATAAACACATGGTTCTGGTATTGCCAATGCACATAGAGGTCCAAATACTAATAGAATTGAATTTGTATGTTTAATTTTTAAATGCATTACATTTTGAAGGCGTTATGTTCACATTGCACTAAAAATGAGAGAAAAATTAACATTATTGCCTGGAACGTTTTTACTTTGCAG